AATTTTTTTAAAAAATATTATAAATAAATACATAAATAATTAATTTACAAATTTTTAATTTAAAAAATTAAAAAATTATTATTATTATGAAATAGATAGAATATGTCTTAGCCTATGTATTCTAATCTAATTTTATATTTCGAGTCATGTCATGTCCAATCTAATCATGTGTTTCAAAGGTGTCCAAGAGGAATTAATATAATGGAGAAAATCTTTTGCATATGGATATTAGGAAACGAGACTAAAATTATGAGATTAAAATTTGAAATTAATAATATAGTATAAGTTATATTATTTAATAATAAATTTTTTACTTTTCTAAAACTTATAATCTATAATATATCATTAATTTTAAACATTACTCTATATATCACCGCTCTTTACATATTAATTCAAAACTTATTGTGTATACCATCGAAAGAAACGAAGGTCAAAGAAAGAAGTCACGCCAAGTTGCCAAAAATCGCCTAATCATGCCCACTCAGTCGATGCCAAGTAAGCTGAGGTTAACGGGCCAATGGAAAGCAAGACGGAAAGATGACGTCATCCTTGACAAAAGTGTTAAGGACGCCTTGCGGGTTTTTGATAAAGTTGAGGGTCAATTTGCACCACCGAAACTGCCTTTTATGTTTTTTTATTCGGATAGGATTTATGTTGGCTTCGTTGGGAGGCTCGCGTAGTTTGGAACCATCTCCAACTAAAGGCTTAACTGCCTTTAAAATAAGACTTATTGGAATCATCGTTAATGATGCGCTTAAGTCAAGCTTGTACAGTCTCTCCACCTTGCCCCATTTGTTCAAGGCTGTTATAAAGGGAAGAAACCCGATAGAGGGGTTGATATGTGACAACAAGCAAAGTAAAGAGGCTATATTATACCTTCAGCCCAGAATCTTTCTTATCCGGACCATGCCAGTCCGTTAATTACGATTCATGACCACAAAGCGTAAGTCACTTCATTATTACCGTATCAAAGTAAATAACACGGGGTTTATTTTGGAATTTAGTTTAATCTATATTTTCTCAGAAAGCAGCCTAAAATTAATGAAAAAATTATTAATAAGTGATATAACATAAAGCATATGCCATGGTTAAAAAAGAAAAGAAAATTAAAGCATATGCCGTGGTTAATTTGACAGGAGTTCAATTTCATGCGTCATTGGATCCCATTTCGTCTCCGCAATAGGGGAAGTAATTAAGGTCACATAATAAAATTTTCAAAGTAATATGACATAAAGAATGACTAATTTGTTGTTTTTGTTCACTAAAGTTAAATGAAAAGTTATTAATGGGTGATATGACACAAAGTATATGCCGTGATTAATTTGATAGGGCTAGGTACATTGTATTTCGAATCGGTCTAAATGGTTTAATTTCAAGTTTTAAGTAATTAAGTGAGGTGGTTGGAGTTTCGAACTCTACCACCGTCATGAATTCCACCAACAAGCAGTTTGATGGTCGTGCGCTTCATTTGAGGAGGTGAAATGTTCATCTGATTTAGGAATTAAATCCTCAATTGTTAACAATTAATTTAAATTAACTTATTAACTATTACTTTTGTAAAAAAAAAAAAAAGAGAAAGAAAAAGAAAAGGAAGAAGGTACATTGCATCCCATTTCGCCTCCGTTTTAGGTAGGTGTTACAGTATATGATAAATTTTTATATAATTAATTAATTATTATATTTAAAGATATTTATGTATAGATTAATTTTAATTTATTAA